ATATATTTCCAGTATTAAATGCCCATAATTAAGGGTGCATATAACACACGAGTGCGTATTATACGTGAATAAATAAGTCTTGTGTACATTGATAAATCGGAAGGGGTGCTAACTGGGATTGTTCACTAGCCAATAACTTAGCAAATGTCGCCGTTTGCGCTTATTAGAGGCGGGGCGCTTATTATGTCGAATACGGTAGTTCATTTCAGAGACTAGATGTTGTTAGTCTAGATCCCAGCATCACCAAGGCCCACTGACTGAATTCTGTTCTTGCATTTAATGGGAAGGCATGAGAAGTCATAGACTTGCACAAGTCTCTAGTCAATAATTATTAGTTAAAATCATAATTTCTAGATTATGTAAATTATAAGAACAGTTGACCCTATAAGAGACTGTAGTCCACATATCTAGACTTGCCCCTCAGGAGGATAGAATAACTACACATCCATGGATCTTTCTTTCAGTACAGCCTTGGAGCAAGGCTAGGCAAGTCCATATTGAACACATCAGTTTGTCATTACAATGTTGGAACAGTTATGGCTGTCACCAGGTGGTAGCACATTGTTGCACTCTTTATGCAGAGATGCCAGAAACACATGGGTTAACTACAGAAACACATGGGTTAACTACAGAAACACATGGGTTAACTACAGAAACACATGGGTTAACTACAGAAAAACATGGGTTAACTACAGAAACACATGGGTTAACTACAGAAACACATGGGTTAACTACAGAAACACATGGGTTAACTACAGAAACACATGGGTTAACTACAGAAACACATGGGTTAACTACAGAAACATGGGTTAACTACAGAAACACATGGGTTAACTACAGAAACACTTGGGTTAACTACAGAAACACATGGGTTAACTACAGAAACACATGGGTTAACTACAGAAACACATGGGTTAACTACAGAAACACATGGGTTAACTACAGAAACACATGGGTTAACTACAGAAACACATGGGTTAACTACAGAAACACATGGGTTAACTACAGAAACACATGGGTTAACTACAGAAACACATGGGTTAACTACAGAAACACATGGGTTAACTACAGAAACACATGGGTTAACTACAGAAACACATGGGTTGACTACAGAAACACATGGGTTGACTACAGAAACACATGGGTTAACTACAGAAACACATGGGTTAACTACAGAAACACTTGGGTTAACTACAGAAACACTTGGGTTAACTACAGAAACACATGGGTTAACTACAGAAACACATGGGTTAACTACAGAAACACATGGGTTAACTACAGAAACACATGGGTTAACTACAGAAACATGGGTTAACTACAGAAACACATGGGTTAACTACAGAAACACATGGGTTAACTACAGAAACACTTGGGTTAACTACAGAAACACTTGGGTTAACTACAGAAACACATGGGTTAACTACAGAAACACATGGGTTAACTACAGAAACACTTGGGTTAACTACAGAAACACATGGGTTAACTACAGAAACACATGGGTTAACTACAGAAACACATGGGTTAACTACAGAAACACATGGGTTAACTACAGAAACACATGGGTTAACTACAGAAACACATGGGTTAACTACAGAAACACATGGGTTAACTACAGAAACACATGGGTTAACTACAGAAACACTTGGGTTAACTACAGAAACACATGGGTTAACTACAGAAACACATGGGTTAACTACAGAAACACATGGGTTGACTACAGAAACACATGGGTTGACTACAGAAACACATGGGTTAACTACAGAAACACATGGGTTAACTACAGAAACACATGGGTTAACTACAGAAACACATGGGTTAACTACAGAAACACATGGGTTAACTACAGAAACACTTGGGTTAACTACAGAAACACATGGGTTAACTACAGAAACACATGGGTTAACTACAGAAACACATGGGTTAACTACAGAAACACATGGGTTAACTACAGAAACACATGGGTTAACTACAGAAACACATGGGTTAACTACAGAAACACATGGGTTAACTACAGAAACACTTGGGTTAACTACAGAAACACATGGGTTAACTACAGAAACACATGGGTTAACTACAGAAACACATGGGTTGACTACAGAAACACATGGGTTGACTACAGAAACACATGGGTTAACTACAGAAACACATGGGTTAACTACAGAAACACATGGGTTAACTACAGAAACACATGGGTTAACTACAGAAACACTTGGGTTAACTACAGAAACACATGGGTTAACTACAGAAACACATGGGTTAACTACAGAAACACATGGGTTAACTACAGAAACACATGGGTTAACTACAGAAACACATGGGTTAACTACAGAAACACATGGGTTAACTACAGAAACACATGGGTTAACTACAGAAACACATGGGTTAACTACAGAAACACTTGGGTTAACTACAGAAACACTTGGGTTAACTACAGAAACACTTGGGTTAACTACAGAAACACATGGGTTAACTACAGAAACACTTGGGTTAACTACAGAAACACATGGGTTAACTACAGAAACACATGGGTTAACTACAGAAACACATGGGTTAACTACAGAAACACATGGGTTAACTACAGAAACACATGGGTTAACTACAGAAACACATGGGTTAACTACAGAAACACTTGGGTTAACTACAGAAACACTTGGGTTAACTACAGAAACACATGGGTTAACTACAGAAACACATGGGTTAACTACAGAAACACTTGGGTTAACTACAGAAACACTTGGGTTAACTACAGAAACACTTGGGTTAACTACAGAAACACATGGGTTAACTACAGAAACACATGGGTTAACTACAGAAACATGGGTTAACTACAGAAACACATGGGTTAACTACAGAAACACATGGGTTAACTACAGAAACACATGGGTTAACTACAGAAACACATGGGTTAACTACAGAAACACATGGGTTAACTACAGAAACACATGGGTTAACTACAGAAACACATGGGTTAACTACAGAAACACATGGGTTAACTACAGAAACACATGGGTTAACTACAGAAACACATGGGTTGACTACAGAAACACATGGGTTAACTACAGAAACACATGGGTTAACTACAGAAACACATGGGTTAACTACAGAAACACTTGGGTTAACTACAGAAACACTTGGGTTAACTACAGAAACACTTGGGTTAACTACAGAAACACATGGGTTAACTACAGAAACACATGGGTTAACTACAGAAACATGGGTTAACTACAGAAACACATGGGTTAACTACAGAAACACATGGGTTAACTACAGAAACACATGGGTTAACTACAGAAACACTTGGGTTAACTACAGAAACACATGGGTTAACTACAGAAACACATGGGTTAACTACAGAAACACATGGGTTAACTACAGAAACACATGGGTTAACTACAGAAACACTTGGGTTAACTACAGAAACACATGGGTTAACTACAGAAACACATGGGTTAACTACAGAAACACATGGGTTAACTACAGAAACACTTGGGTTAACTACAGAAACACATGGGTTAACTACAGAAACACATGGGTTAACTACAGAAACACATGGGTTGACTACAGAAACACATGGGTTAACTACAGAAACACATGGGTTAACTACAGAAACACATGGGTTAACTACAGAAACACATGGGTTAACTACAGAAACACATGGGTTAACTACAGAAACACATGGGTTAACTACAGAAACACATGGGTTAACTACAGAAACACATGGGTTAACTACAGAAACACATGGGTTAACTACAGAAACACATGGGTTAACTACAGAAACACATGGGTTGACTACAGAAACACATGGGTTAACTACAGAAACACATGGGTTAACTACAGAAACACATGGGTTAACTACAGAAACACATGGGTTAACTACAGAAACACATGGGTTAACTACAGAAACACTTGGGTTAACTACAGAAACACATGGGTTAACTACAGAAACATGGGTTGACTACAGAAACATATGGGTTAACTACAGAAACACATGGGTTAACTACAGAAACACATGGGTTAACTACAGAAACACATGGGTTAACTACAGAAACATGGGTTAACTACAGAAACATATGGGTTAACTACAGAGCCATGTGGCTGTTTTGTTGGTTTAAACTTATGTGAAGTAACAGCGTTAGAAATTGTCCTGTAGTCATCAATAGAAACTACCAGTTTTAGTCCACTAGTCCTTCTTATGATAAAATGATATAGAGAAACACGTAAAAAATTCTATTAGTCCTTATGATACCTTAACTATTGGGCTAATGTCAAGGACTATAGGACTAGTGCCAATTTCTAACTCTGTGTAGTCCTTGCCAAAGAACCAAATAGTTAAGGTATCATGAGGACCAGTAGAGAATTGCCATTTTTAAGGGTTTTTCTAATGCCAGTGTCTGATAATAAAATCAAGAAAGTCATGAAACAAACAAGCAAACAAACAAACTCAGAGTTGAACGATGAGGATGTTTATCCTTTGCCCTCAGAAAATGTCCATTTTTCAGAATGGAAGCTGTCTTGAAATGTACATATGCATGCTATATTGTGAAACTTGAATCTTTTTTTCCCCATGAATTTTAAGTATTAACCTTGATTGACTTTTGCTCCCAGTATCTCAAAAGGCCATGACTTACACTGTAGACATCTTCTCCTTCAGACTGAGGAAGCTAAATGTTGTGTTTCTTCTTCTGTTGGCATATTTTGGTTTGCTGTTTAAAGCTGCAGTCAGCAATATTCCTATATGATGGCAGTCTGTAAATAATCGAGTCTGGACCAGACAATCCAGTGATTAATATCATGAGCATCTATCCACGCAATTTAGATCAATGACATGTATCAGCCAAGTCAGCAAGCCTGACCACCTGATCCCGTCAGTCGCCTCTTGTGACAAGCATAGTCGCCTTTTACGGCAAGCATGGGTTGCTGAAGACCTATTCTACCCCAGATGGTATATTTTGTGCAGACCTGGATATTTAATCATTGCTTTCACAATTTTCAACTTCCAGATTTTCTCCAGTAAGACGGCAGAGCTTGTTACGTACCACCAGACTGAGATCAAACACCACCTGCCTCGAGAAGGGTAAGTAATAAGACTCCTGTATCCCATGGCAACTAGATGTTGTTTGTTTCCATGGTAACCATGTAATGTCATTCCAGATGGGTTGAGGAAGATCCGCTCGAGATCTTGGAGACCGTGAGAACCTGTATGGCAGCGGCCATTGACAACCTGAAGCGCCTCGACATTCCCGTCACTGACATCAAATGTGAGTCGTGTAGAACACACCTGTCTCTGACATCAAAGTCAATTGGAACCTGAATGTGTACCCGGTTCTATGACATCCAAATCAATTGGACCATGTAGAACACACTGGTCTCAGACATCAAAGTCAATTGCATCCTGAATGTGTAACTGGTTCTATGACAACCAAATCAATTAAACCATGTAAAACACACTGGTCTCAGACATCAAAGTCAGTTGAACCATGTAGAACACACTGGTCTCAGACATCAGTCAGTTGAACCATGTAGAACACACTGGTCTCAGACATGTCAGTTGAGTCATGAATGTGTAGGCTGCCCCTTAAGATGTGTGTCACTTGTAGGATGTCTGTAGGTTGAAGTCAAAGTACATTCAGCACCTCAGTCTTAGGCATGGCAGGGAAGTTACATATACACAATTCTGGGGGCGGTCGGGTAGCCTAGTGGTTAAAGCGTTCGCTCGTCACGCCGAAGACCCGAGTTCAATTCCCGACATGGGTACAATGTGTAAAGCCCATTTCTGGTGTCCCCCGCAGTGATATTGCTGGAATATTGCTAAAAGCGGGGTAAAACCATACTCACTCACTGTACATAATTCTACAATTAACAGTTTTGAGTCAGCTCATACAAGCCTAAATATTTCAGGTCTTGGGATCACCAATCAAAGGGAGACAACTGTTGTGTGGGACAAGACAACTGGAGAACCCCTGTACAATGCCATCGGTAGGTCAGAGCAGCAATGTAGGCTCTTGTTGGCTTTACTGTAGAAATAAGAATTGTTGTTTGATTTTATGTTGTAACCATGGTTACAGTCTTACAATTAGCCTGAAGCTCGAGTCAGGTTAGGTCAGCTTATAGCAGACAAGGATATTGACACTCAAGTCTACTGGAACTGCTTGAAAGACACAAGTTAGAGCTAGTAGATTATAATCACATTATGTTCAGATCTTGTACCATGACACCTGTTAAGATCTGAGGACATCTCTGTACAAGGTCAGGTGAAGTGCTCATTCTAAATGAAGGATGGTGGGTTTTTAAGCCAATGGGATGTCAGCTTTCTAAAAGGAAGGATTGGGGGATCTGTAGCCAATGGGATGTCAGCTTTCTAAAATGAAGGATGGGGGGATCTGTAGCCAATGAGATGTCAGCTTTCTAAAATGAAGGATGGGGGGATCTGTAGCCAATGAGATGTCAGCTTTCTAAAATGACTTGGCATCCTTTTTTTACCATGTCCATTGGGCACAGAAATAACAAGGCAGATAAATAGTCTATAATAATGTAACGTGCAGCCTTTGTTATTTACATTCAGAACTGTCAGTTTATGTTGTTTTTAAGATACAGATATCAGATAGGATGCTGTGAATGCTTTGCTCACTAGTTCCGTCGAATTAGGAGCCTCAAAGCTGATTGTCAGATTTCCTGTGACAACATGTCCTGTGGGGGGTTGTCAGGTCTTCATGCAGACAGGTATAGTTTTGGGTGAGTAGGTCTCATTTTGATTGAGAGTCAGGGCTAGTAGATTCAAAATGTTTAAGCACAGACTGCGGTACCCCAAGTCAGGGGTAGAAGCAGATCTGTGCCGTGGACTGTGTGTCAACTGCCTCCACCTGTCTTGCAGTGTGGCTGGATCTCCGAACAGCATCAACGGTGGACAGTCTGGTGGAGAAGACACCGCAGCGTAGCAAGGACTACCTTAGGGTGAGTACACAGGGAGACACAACCCATCACCATGTGCTTTAGTCGTGGGTGCACAGAGGTGCTTGAAGTTGCTGTGCAGAGTTGCGTCCCTTGGGCCTTAAGATGAGCATCACTCTAGGTTCCTCCCACATCAAGCTGACAGCCAGGATATCACTGAAACAATGCTCAAAGCAGGACTAAACCCAACTCACTCATTACTTCTCTGTTACATACTTAGGCTGTTCCAATCTCCTCCCTCTGTTGCAGCCCAAGTGTGGTCTACCCCATTCGTCACCACTCGCCCCTTTCCATAAGCTGCAAGAAAACTCGTCCCCCTATCGATGAGTGAGTGAGTGAGTTGGGTTTAACGCCTCTTTTAACAGTATTCCAGTTATATCGTGGCGTGGCAGCTTAATGTGGGAGGAAAGCCCGAAGTGATGCAGGTCTCAGACGTTTACCACTTTGGTGAAACCCACGAGCAGGGGTATGGTGCTGACAAACCTAGAAACATAATCGGGGCAAACTTGGATTCGATCCCACAATCATAGGTTTCTGGCGTGCCCAAGGGACGCAACTCTGCACAACGAATCGCGGCGCCTTAGACAACTTGGCCACCCGTGCCCCCCCACTATCGATGAATGTTATGTGCGAAAATGTGACAAATCAATCAGAATGCAGGTATGATTTCAAGTTCTTCGTCAAAGAATCCCTCAGGAATAATTTTTGATTTTACATATGTCTTGCATCTAAAACTATACCCAAGACACAGTTAAATGTGTTCAATCATACTGTCTAATTCCGCATGTACAGATGTGCTTCAAATTGCATCTGAAATATATATAATATATGGGGAAATATATGTAAACAGTTACGAAACGAGTAACTTGTTATGTTGTTTCTAGGTATGCCCGTTTGCGCTAAGACGGAAACCGGTCGCAAAAATGGCCATGAGAGGGGCACGAGTCCCTAATCGGCATGTCCCGAAATAACATGAATTGGTCACGAAGGGGTCTGCCCATCACCACATACTTAGGCTGTTCCAATATCCTCCCTATGTTACAGTCCGCATACTTCAGGTTGTTCCAATCTCCCCCCTCTGTTACAGCCCAAGTGTGGCCTCCCCATCACCACCTACTTCAGCGCAGTGAAACTCCGCTGGCTGTTGGACCACAGTGAGAAGGTGAAGGTCGCGGTCAAGGAAGGTCGATGTCTGTTTGGCACAGTTGACTCCTGGTTACTATGGGTACGTGGTTCTTAACGATTGAGTAACCGACACACTGCACTGTCTGTATCTTCCACCTTTGGTAAAGTGTTTGTGTCTCAAAATATCTAATCTCGATGCAAAATCCCTGCCCCAAATGGTTGGTCCCTAATGATATGGACATTCATACACTTTAATACACTCCACATGTAATATAATAAAACAGCATTCACTTGCTCTCCTGACTGTAACTGAGATCACCTGACTAACTGAGGTCACCTGACTGTAACTAAGGTTACCTGACTGTAACTAAGGTCACATCCTGACTGTAACTAAGGTTACCTGACTGTAACTAAGGTCACATCCTGACTGTAACTGAGGTCATCTCCTGACTGTAACTGAGGTCACATCCTGACTGTAACTGAGATCACCTGACTAACTGAGAGCACCTGACTGTAACTGAGGTCACCTGACATTAACTAAGGTCATCTCCTGACCGTAACTGAGATCACCTGACTGTAACTGAGGTCATCTCCTGACTGTTACTGAGATCACCTGACTGTAACTGAGGTCACATCTTAACTGTAGCCATTTCCTGACTGTAACTGAGGTCACCTGACTATAACTGAGGTCACCTCCTGACTGTAACTGAGGTCACCTCCTGACTGTAACTGAGATCACCTGTGGTCACCTTCTGATTGTAACTGAGGTCACCTACTCACGTGTCAGGGATCTCAAGTGACACTCTCTGTAACCGTTCAGTGTTTGTATCCTGACAGAACATGACAGGAGGGCCAAATGGCGGCAAACACTACACCGACGTCACCAACGCCAGCCGCACCATGCTGATGAGCCTCCACACACTCGAGTGGGACGACAGTCTGTGCAGGTAGGTGTCTGTGTGGGTAGGTGTCTGTGTAGGTAGGTGTCTGTGTAGGTAGGTGTCTGTGTAGGTAGGTATCTGTAGGTAGGTGTCTGTTCAGGTAGGTGTCTGTGTAGGTAGGTGTCTGTGTAGGTAGGTGTCTGTGTAGGTAGGTATCTGTAGGTAGGTGTCTGTTCAGGTAGGTGTCTGTGTGGGTAGGTGTCTGTGTGGGTAGGTGTCTGTGTGGGTAGGTGTCTGTGGGGGTAGGTGTCTGTGGGGGTAGGTGTCTGTGTAGGTAGGTGTCTGTTCAGGTAGGTGTATGTGTGGGTAGGTGTCTGTGTAGGTAGGTGTCTGTGTGGGTAGGTGTCTGTGTGGGTAGGTGTCTGTGTAGGTAGGTGTCTGTCTGGGTAGGTGTCTGTGTGGGTAGGTGTCTGTGTGGGTAGGTGTCTGTGTGGGTAGGTGTCTGTGTGGGTAGGTGTCTCTGTGTTGGTAGGTGTCTGTGTAGGTAGGTGTCTGTGTAGGTAGGTGTCTCTGTTGGTAGGTGTCTGTGTAGGAAGGTGTCTATTGATGGTCTCTGTAGGTAGGTGTCTGTTGATGGTCTCTGTAGCGTGGTGTCTGTCGATGGTCTCTGTAGCGTGGTGTCTGTTGATGGTCTCTGAAGCGTGGTGTCTGTTGACAGTCTCTGTAGTAGGCATCTGTTGACGGCCTGTGTAGCTAGGTGTCTCTGTAGGTAGGTGTCTATTGATGGTTTCTGTAGGTAGGTGTCTGTTGATGGTCTCTGTAGCGTGGTGTCTGTCGATGGTCTCTGTAGCGTGGTGTCTGTTGATGGTCTCTGAAGCGTGGTGTCTGTTGACAGTCTCTGTAGTAGGCATCTGTTGACGGCCTGTGTAGCTAGGTGTCTCTGTAGGTAGGTGTCTATTGATGGTTTCTGTAGGTAGGTGTCTGTTGATGGTCTCTGTAGGAAGGTGTCTGTTGATGGTCTCTGAAGCGTGGTGTCTGTTGATGGTCTCTGTAGTAGGCATCTGTTGACAGCCTGTGTAGCTAGGTGTCTCTGTAGGTAGGTCTGTTCATGGTGTCTGTTGATGGTCTCTGTAGCATGGTGTCTGTTGACAGCCTTTGTAGCATGGTGTCTGTTGATGGTCTCTGTAGCTGGCTGTCTATTGATGGTCTCTGTAGCGTGGTGTCTGTTGATGGTCTCTATAGCATGGTGTCTGTTGATGGTCTCTGTAGGAAGGTGTCTGTTGGTGGTCTCTGTAGCATGGTGTCTGTCGCCTTGTCTTTTGCCTTGTGCCTTGTAACAAGAATGTCTTTCTTCTTTTTCCAAGATTCTTTGACATTCCCAAGGAGATCCTGCCGGAGATCCACAGCTCCTCGGAGATCTACGGCCATGCTGTTGACGGACCGCTCAAAGGCCTGCCTATATCAGGGGTAGGTGTCATCACTCTCCAACAAATCGGGCAGCGAAATTTTGAGAAAAGGTGGTTATTTTGTCTCCAAATGGAAAATATCTAGACCTCCTTATTTGCTCATATGCAGAGGTTATATTACTTCAGTGTAATACTATGAGTTCATATAGAAAAGTCATTTTGAGGTTTCTTTTATCAAAGCTTTAAAAAAGTTCAATTCTGCCTAAAACAATGTTAAAAATGGACCGCAGAAAGCCAACAAAAAATCTTTTTTCGCCTAAGATTCTTTCTGAATAAGAAATAAATTAAGTCTCATTTCTCTTTTTTGGTCCTGGTATAGGCTGAATGCAAGTCACTATGCAGAAATGACAACAAAGCTGACAGAGTAGTTAACAATTAAGCATTGGCTCAAGATCCCACTGTCCTTCAGTTTAGAAAGCTGACATCACATTGGCTCGAGATCTCACATCCTTCATCTTACTAACTGCTTATGAAACGGCCAACAACACCGCTAACAAGAAAGCTAAGGGCAGTTCCATGTTGTTTCAGATCCTGGGGGACCAGCAGGCTGCACTGGTTGGACAGACCTGCTTCAAGCTCGGCCAGGCCAAGAACACGTGAGTCAGAACAAGCACCTGCTATGAAGCTATCTCGAGTGTACAGTGATCGCTCGCTATTGCGCTACCAATGGGGTCCAAATAATTGGTGGGCGTTATAGACAATGAGCCGTTTAACCGAGGCCGAGGCGGGGGAGCGCGCTCGGCAAATCTCAAATCATCAATAGGCCTATGTGTTTATCTCACATCACGTCAAAATAGTATATATTTTTATGGACCTAGATCTACCTGTAATATCATTCATTTATTAAATCTGTCATATTTCACAATGTCTGAAATACGTATTCCATTCTAATTTATCATTTTTTATCAATAAATTAAAAAATTATTCACTATTTCCCGCGATGTTATTGAAAATAAAATTCTCGGACACACATTTCGACAACGGGTCCGCATCGAACATGTCAAAGAGCAAAATAAAGACTTTTTTAAGCAAATCTTTAAATATATTATACAAAGTGATAAATAAAATCAACAAAAATATATCTAAAAGTAATCAAACTTACATCTAAGTTATTATTTCCATCGTTTCGTGCGATCGCGTGTAATGTAAGTCAAATGACATCTCGGCTTTCGTCGCCTTGAATTCTCGGCTCGGACACAACGTTTAATGCAAAAATATATGCATGAAAAAGCTTTGTCACAGCTCTTAACCTAGCACGATACATTCGCGAAGTTCCATATTTTTAATATATATCGTGATTTCCTGCTTAAAACGTTCAGAATAACACGATTTAACAAAAAATCTTTCGCTAACTTCTGAAATTTATCAAACACGAGCTTTGTATCAAAGCTTGATTGGCTGCCTGAGGTCACGTGCTCAAAATTGACCAATCACGAAACTTGTAGCAGATTTCGGCAAGAAAGCGTCATTAGAAACAAATTTTAATCCAATGAAATCGCTTGTTATAACTATGGGGAAAAAACAGGCGATGTTACGAAAGCGCGATTACGAAATGAATGACCGCCGTGTTGTGACAGCAACTACATTTGTGTGACAGTTTAGCCTTAAATTGGATTGCCCACTAATTAAGAATATAAACTTCACTTGTGGTTCTCTTTTATTGCATGCATGCGCTTCTAAGATCAAAGGATGTATAGTGTGAAAAACCGTTGATTATGCAATGAGAAGCGTTATGTGCAAATAAACAACGAACAACAATACAATCATGTCTGTGTAAAACTCTCAGTGTACATAAATTTTGGGAGCCATGCATTACCGCGCGTAATAACCGAAGTAGCGCTTTATCGAAGAGCGCAATAGTGAGCGATCACTGTATAACAGTCCAGCTTGTACAATGAGCAGGAGCAGGAGGCTGTCTGTCCTGACCCTCTGTGTCCTGACCCTCTGTGTGTTGCAGGCATGGGACAGGGTGCTTCTTGCTGTACAAAGAGCAGGAGGCTGTCTGTCCTGACCCTCTGTGTCCTGACCCTCTGTGTGTTGCAGGTATGGGACTGGGTGCTTCTTGCTGTACAATGAGCAGGAGGCTGTCTGTCCTGACCCTCTCTGTCTGTCCTGACCCTCTCTGTGTCCTGACTCTGTGTGTTGCAGGTATGGCACGGGGTGCTTCTTGCTGTACAAAGGGCAGGAGCAGGAGACTGTCTGTCCTGACCCTCTCTGTGTCCTGACTCTCTCTGTCAGTCCTGACCCTCTCTGTGTCCTGACTCTCTCTGTGTCCTGACCCTCTCTGTGTGTTGCAGGTATGGCACGGGGTGCTTCTTACTGTACAACACTGGGACCAGCCCTGTGGAGTCCAAGACTGGACTGCTCACTACTGTTGCCTACAAACTCGGCAAGTCCAAGCCAGTCGTGTACGCCCTGGAGGTAAGAGAACACTCAGCACCTCAGATTGATGATGGAATATTTTCTTCCAGGGTGGCAACATGCAGATGTGATCTTGAGTTTGTCAGTAGTGATGATGCATCTGAATGTTGCAGGGCTCCATTGCTATAGCTGGGGCATGCGTCCGGTGGCTGCGCGACAACATGGGCATCATCAAGACATCCCCAGAAGTTGGTAGGTACCCACGGTAACACAGTTACCTTCTTACCATCTGCAACCAGGTGCCAGGGTTCTTAGAGATACTCCTATGTAAGCACAATGCTGAGCAGGGTTAGAATAGGACTTCCTCAGTGTTGGCACAGTGCAGACTGGGGTTCATCTTCCCGAGGCAAGAGAGTTAACTGACTTTATAAGTCCAGTTTCCACCCTTGCCGAACTAGGCTTGAATTACTGGGCTCAATCGTAGCGCCACCAGTGGCTATTACCAGTTATGTTCCTTCTAAGCCTCTCCTATGGACCAATCAGATTCCATCTCTCGTATCACTTGTGTTTGCTTCACACAAAATGGTGGCGCCCAGTCAGGACGATATGATCCATAATCAAGATCTATATTGTGATAAATGGGTCTTACATCGCGAAATGCATCAAATCACGTGAGCACCTTCATTAAAAACATGAAAAGATTTCGAATAATATCTGTTGACAACGAGATGGCGGTGAACATGCTTTGCAAATACTGCAGTCAAAACGAAATCTGTACGACAGTTTACGAACCAGATTTCGATTTCGGTGCACGATTTTGATTGGACTATGCATAGACTCGTTAGTCCAGCCAAAATGTAACTCCATAATACCAGCCTACGTCGACAAGTGTGGAAACTGGACTTCTATAGTCAGTTAACTCCTTTGCCTCGGGAAGATTGACTGGGGTTAGAATGGGACTTCCTCAGTGTTGGCACAGTGCAGACCGGGGTTAGAATAGGACTTCCTCATTGTTGGCACAGTGCAGACTTGGGTTAGAATAGGACTTCCTCAGTGTTGGCACAGTGCAGACTTGGGTTAGAATAGGACTTCCTCATTGTTGGCACAGTGCAGACTTGGGTTAGAATAGGACTTCCTCAGTGTTGGCACAGTGCCGACCGGGGTTAGAATAGGACTTCCTCCGTGTTGGCACAGTGCAGACTTTGGTTAGAATAGGACTTCCTCAGTGTTGGCACAGTGCAGACTTGGGTTAGAATAGGACTTCCTCATTGTTGGCACAGTGCAGACTTGGGTTAGAATAGGACTTCCTCAGTGTTGGCACAGTGCCGACCGGGGTTAGAATAGGACTTCCTCCGTGTTGGCACAGTGCAGACTTGGGTTAGAATAGGACTTCCTCATTGTTGGCACAGTGCAGACTGGAGTTAAAATAGGACTTCCTCATTGTTGGCACAGTGCAGACTGGGGTTAGAATAGGACTTCCTCCGTGTTGGCACAGTGGAGACTTGGGTTAGAATAGGACTTCCTCAGTGTTGGCACAGTGCCGACCGGGGTTAGAATAGGACTTCCTCCGTGTTGGCACAGTGCAGACTTGGGTTAGAATAGGACTTCCTCATTGTTGGCACAGTGCAGACTGGAGTTAAAATAGGACTTCCTCATTGTTGGCACAGTGCAGACTTGGGTTAGAATAGGACTTCCTCCGTGTTGGCACAGTGCAGACTTGGGTTAGAATAGGACTTCCTCAGTGTTGGCACAGTGCCGACCGGGGTTAGAATAGGACTTCCTCCGTGTTGGCACAGTGCAGACTGGGGTTAGAATAGGACTTCCTCAGTGTTGGCACAGTGTAGACCAGGGTTAGAATAGGACTTCCTCAGTGTTGGCACAGTGCAGACCGGGGTTAGAATAGTACTTCCTCAGTGTTGGCACAGTGGAGACTGGGGTTAGAATAGGACTTCCTCATTGTTGGCACAGTGCAGACTGGGGTTAGAATAGGACTTCCTCAGTATTGGCACAGTGCAGACCGGGGTTAGAATAGGACTTCCTCAGTGTTGGCACAGTGCAGACCGGGGTTAGAATAGTACTTCCTCAGTGTTGGCACAGTGCAGACTGGGGTTAGAATAGGACTTCCTCATTGTTGGCACAGTGCAGACTGGGGTTAGAATAGGACTTCCTCCGTGTTGGCACAGTGCAGACCGGGGTTAGAATAGGACTTCCTCCGTGTTGGCACAGTGCAGACCGGGGTTAGAATAGGACTTCCTCAGTGTTGGCACAGTGTAGACCGGGGTTAGAATAGGACTTCCTCAGTGTTGGCACAGTGCAGACCGGGGTTAGAGTAGGACTTCCTCATTGTTGGCACAGTGCAGACTGGGGTTAGAATAGGACTTCCTCAGTGTTGGCACAGTGCAGACTGGGGTTAGAGTAGGACTTCCTCCGTGTTGGCACAGTGCAGACCGGGGTTAGAGTAGGACTTCCTCAGTGTTGGCACAGTGCATACCGGGGTTAGAATAGGACTTCCTCCGTGTTGGCACAGTGCAGACTGGGGTTAGAATAGGACTTCCTCAGTGTTGCCACAGTGCAGACTGGAGTTAGAGTAGGACTTCCTCCGTGTTGGCACAGTGCAGACCGGGGTTAGAGTAGGACTTCCTCAGTGTTGGCACAGTGCATACTGGGGTTAGAATAGGACTTCCTCAGTATTGGCACAGTGCAGACCGGGGTTAGAATAGGACTTCCTCAGTATTGGCACAGTGCAGACCGGGGTTAGAATAGGACTTCCTCAGTATTGGCACAGTGCAGACCGGGGTTAGAATAGGACTTCCTCATTGTTGGCACAGTGCAGACTGGGGTTAGAATAGGACTTCCTCCGTGTTGGCACAGTGCAGACTGGGGTTAGAATAGGACTTTCTCACTGTTGTTGGTGTCGCTGAGGCTTATGGAGGGACACAAAAGCATGCTGTTTTTACAACCGGATTTATTCCAATGATGGTCCACAATCAGTGGTTATGATGATGATGAAGAAACCCTAAAACACAAAATTTACAAAATGTAGGCAAACATCATAACCAATAGATCATTAAAAGAATACTGCCATTATACATCTATTACATGTGTTTGATATACCAATCAATAAGATATAATGTGAACACTTACTTTACATTTAGTACGGTCAAGCATGTTATGGAGGATATCTCCTCAGTGAGGATGATATCACTGAATACACTACAAAGCAATTAAATAATACTATATTAAGTAATATAACATTACAATAGTATAGACAATTATGCCATGACATGTTGACATAAATATACGTATAACTAAGGGAAGTAACCCTCACCTCGTCTAAGGGACGGAGGCCAAACCACCAGATGTCATCAAAACTGGTCATGCAGTATCTTACGTGACCTGATAAATGATATATAACTACATGAATCTTACTGGTATGGTAAACATCACATACATTGTATACATACAAAATCAACATTTTTAGGTATTTCATATGTATGATAAAATCAACAAATACATGTATACTGTTTTTGTTTTTTAGACTTTCATGATAAAATAGTACCAATACATGCTTAAATCTAGTACATTCATTATGCATACACCTCAATGGTAACATCTTACAATATTTAAATATATATTGCACTAACATGAATATACTGATAATTCATGTTTATAACATATACATGATACACTGTTCTTATGGAACATAAATGACTTAATATGAGTGTACTAAAATACATAATATATATTAGAAACCTAAGTACAATGATAATAAATATATTTAACTCACCCCAAACTGAACTGTCCTTTCCCAGTGAGAGTTGTGACTAGAAATGGTGCACATAGTAGAGGTGTGAAGTACATGACCAAGGTGGTCATGTGACGCGAGAAATACAAAGCCAGGCCAAGCTGACCGGCAGAGAACAATAGGCTAGGCTGAGACCGCAGTAGCCTTAGCACAAAGAATCAATCACCACATGTTAGATTATGTTACTGAGGTGTGAGTTAGTGGACTAAGTAAGCTAATTTATTCAATAAATACACTAATCCTAAAATACTATGTTTTGGATAAGTTTATACTAAACTACTTTTAAAATAATCCCAAATTTATACATCCTGCCACATTGGCACAGTGCAGACCGGGGTTAGAATAGTACTTCCTCAGTATTGGCACAGTGCATACCGGGGTTAGAATAGGACTTCCTCCGTGTTGGCACAGTGCAGACTGGGGTTAGAATAGGACTTCCTCAGTGTCGGCACAGTGCAGACCAGGGTAAGAATAGGACTTCCTCAGTGTTGGCACAGTGCAGACCGGGGTTAGAGTAGGACTTCCTCAGTGTTGGCACAGGGCAGACCAGGGTTAGAATAGGACTTCCTCAGTGTTGGCACAGTGCAGACCGGGGTTAGAGTAGGACTTCCTCATTGTTGGCACAGTGCAGACTGGGGTTAGAATAGGACTTCCTCCGTGTTGGCACAGTGCAGACTGGGGTTAGAGTAGGACTTCCTCCGTGTTGGCACAGTGCAGACCGGGGTTAGAGTAGGACTTCCTCAGTGTTGGCACAGTGCATACCGGGGTTAGAATAGGACTTCCTCCGTGTTGGCACAGTGCAGACTGGGGTTAGAATAGGACTTCCTCAGTGTTGCCACAGTGCAGACTGGAGTTAGAGTAGGACTTCCTCCGTGTTGGCACAGTGCAGACCGGGGTTAGAGTAGGACTTCCTCCGTGTTGGCACAGTGCAGACTGGGGTTAGAGTAGGACTTCCTCCGTGTTGGCACCGTGCAGACCGGGGTTAGAGTAGGACTTCCTCAGTGTTGGCACAGTGCATACTGGGGTTAGAGTAGGACTTCCTCCGTGTTGGCACAGTGCAGACCGGGGTTAGAATAGGACTTCCTCATTGTTGGCACAGTGCAGACTGGGGTTAGAATAGGACTTCTTCATTGTTGGCACAGTGCAGACTGGAGTTAAAATAGGACTTCCTCATTGTTGGCACAGTGCAGACTGGGGTTAGAATAGGACTTCCTCATTGTTGGCACAGTGCAGACTTGGGTTAGAATAGGACTTCCTCAGTGTTGGCACAGTGCAGACCGGGGTTAGAATAGGACTTCCTCAGTGTTGGCACAGTGCAGACCGGGGTTAGAATAGGACTTCCTCATTGTTGGCACAGTGCAGACTGGGGTTAGAATAGGACTTCCTCAGTGTTGGCACAGTGTAGACCAGGGTTAGAATAGGACTTCCTCAGTGTTGGCACAGTGCAGACCCGGGTTAGAATAGTACTTCCTCAGTGTTGGCACAGTGCAGACTGGGGTTAGAATAGGACTTCCTCATTGTTGGCACAGTGCAGACTGGGGTTAGAATAGGACTTCCTCAGTATTGGCACAGTGCAGACTGGGGTTAGAATAGGACTTCCTCAGTGTTGGCACAGTGCAGACCGGGGTTAGAATAGTACTTCCTCAGTGTTGGCACAGTGCAGACTGGGGTTAGAATAGGACTTCCTCATTGTTGGCACAGTGCAGACTGGGGTTAGAATAGGACTTCCTCCGTGTTGGCACAGTGCCGACCGGGGTTAGAATAGGACTTCCTCCGTGTTGGGACAGTGCAGACCGGGGTTAGAATAGGACTTCCTCAGTGTTGGCACAGTGTAGACCGGGGGTTAGAATAGGACTTCCACAGTGTTGGCACAGTGCAGACTGGGGTTAGAATAGGACTTCCTCAGTGTTGGCACAGTGCGGACTGGGGTTAGAATAGGACTTCCTCAGTATTGGCACAGTGCAGACCGGGGTTAGAATAGGACTTCCTCATTGTTGGCACAGTGCAGACTGGGGTTAGAATAGGACTTCCTCATTGTTGGCACAGTGCAGACTGGGGTTAGAATAGGACTTCCTCAGTGTTGGCACAGTGCAGACCGGGGTTAGAATAGTACTTCCTCAGTGTTGGCACAGTGCAGACCAGGGTTAGAATAGGACTTCCTCCGTGTTGGCACCGTGCAGACCAGGGTTAGAATAGGACTTCCTCCGTGTTGTCACAGTGCAGACCGGGGTTAGAGTAGGACTTCCTCATTGTTGGCACAGTGCAGACTGGGGTTAGAATAGGACTTCCTCAGTGTTGGCACAGTGCAGACCAGGGTTAGAATAGGACTTCCTCCGTGTTGGCACCGTGCAGACCAGGGTTAGAATAGGACTTCCTCCGTGTTGTCACAGTGCAGACCGGGGTTAGAGTAGGACTTCCTCAGTGTTGGCACAGTGCAGACTGGGGTTAGAATAGGACTTCCTAAGTGTTGGCACAGTGCAGATTGGGGTTAGAATAGGACTTCCTCATTGTTGGCACAGTGGAGACTGGGGTTAGATTAGGACTTCCTCATTGTTAGCACAGTGCAGACTGGGGTTAGAGTAGGACTTCCTCAGTGTTGGCACAGTGCAGACCAGGGTTTGAATAGGACTTCCTCCGTGTTGGCACAGTGCAGACTGGAGTTAAAATAGGACTTGCTCATTGTTGGCACAGTGCAGACTGGGGTTAGAATAGGACTTCCTCAGTGTTGGGACAGTGCAGACCGGTCCTTCTGTAACTGTTTGTTTCTCTTCAGATGAGCTGGCAGCTCGGGTTGACAGCACTCACGGCTGCTACTTTGTTCCGGCGTTCTCTGGGTTGTTTTGTCCGTACTGGCAGTCGGACGCCAGGGGGTGAGTACTCTAGATGTCTGATCACCAGCACGTAGCAGGTCTGTCTTGTCTGATCACCAGCACGTAGCACATCTGTCTTGTCTGATCACCAGCATGTAGCACATCTGTGATGTCTGATCACCAGCACGTAGCAGGTCTGTCTTGTCTGATCACCAGCACGTAGCACATCTGTCTTGTCTGATCACCAGCATGTAGCACGTCTGTCTTGTCTGATCACCAGCACGTAGCACATCTGTCTTGTCTGATCACCAGCATGTAGCACGTCTGTCTTGTCTGATCACCAGCACGTAGCACATCTGTGATGTCTGATCACCAGCACGTAGCACATCTGTCTTGTCTGATCACCAGCATGTAGCACGTCTGTCTTGTCTGATCACCAGCATGTAGCACATCAGTCTTGTCTGATCACCAGCACGTAGCACATCTATGATGTCTGATCACCAGCACGTAGCACGTCTGTCTTGTCTGATCACCAGCACGTAGCACGTCTGTCTGTGTCTGATCACCAGCACGTAGCACATCTGTCTTGTCTGATCACCAGCACCTAGCACGTCTGTCTTGTCTGATCACCAGCACGTAGCACATCTGTGATGTCTGATCACCAGCACGTAGCACGTCTGTCTTGTCTGATCACCAGCACGTAGCACGTCTGTCTTGTCTGATCACCAGCACCTAGCACGTCTGCGATGTTTGATCACCAGCACGTAGCATGTCTGTCTTGTCTGATCACCAGCACGTAGCACGTCTGTCTTGTCTGATCACCAGCACGTAGCACATCTGTGATGTCTGATCACCAGCACGTAGCACATCTGTCTTGTCTGATCACCAGCACGTAGCACATCTGTCTTGTCTGATCACCAGCACGTAGCACGTCTGTCTTGTCTGATCAACAGCACGTAGCACATCTGTCTGTCTGTTGTGGTGCAGGGTCATCTGTGATGTGTTTCAGGGTCATCTGTGATGTCTGTTGTGTTTCAGGGTCATCTGTGATGCGTGTTGTGTTTCAGGGTCATCTGTGATGTCTGTTGTGTTTCAGGGTCATCTGTGATGCGTGTTGTGTTTCAGGGTCATCTGTGATGTGTGTTGTGTTTCTGGGTCATCTGTGATGTCTGTTGTGTTTCAGGGTCATCTGTGATGTCTGTTGTGTTTCAGGGTCATCTGTGATGCGTGTTGTGTTTCAGGGTCATCTGTGATGTGTGTTGTGTTTCAGGGTCATCTGTGATGCGTGTTGTGTTTCAGGGTCATCTGTGATGCGTGTTGTGTTTCAGGGTCATCTGTGATGCGTGTTGTGTTTCAGGGTCATCTGTGATGTGTGTTGTGTTTCAGGGTCATCTGTGATGCGTGTTGTGTTTCAGGGTCATCTGTGATGTCTGTTGTGTTTCAGGGTCATCTGTGATGTGTGTTGTGTTTCAGGGTCATCTGTGATGTGTGTTGTGTTTCAGGGTCATCTGTGATGTGTGTTGTGTTTCTGGGTCATCTGTGATGTCTGTTGTGTTTCAGGGTCATCTGTGATGCGTGTTGTTTCAGGGTCATCTGTGATGCGTGTTGTGTTTCAGGGTCATCTGTGATGTGTGTTGTGTTTCAGGGTCATCTGTGATGCGTGTTGTGTTTCTGGGTCATCTGTGATGTGTGTTGTGTTTCAGGGTCATCCGTGATGTCTGTTGTGTTTCAGGGTCATCTGTGATGTCTGTTGTGTTTCAGGGTCATCTGTGATGTGTGTTGTGTTTCAGGATCATCTGTGATGTGTGTTGTGTTTCAGGGTCATCTGTGATGTGTGTTGTGTTTCAGGGTCATCTGTGGGTTGAGTCAGTTCACCAGCAGAGAGCACATCTGTCGTGCTGCTCTAGAGGCTGTTTGCTTCCAGACAAGGGAGGTAAGTTGGTCCGACACCTCTGTGTGTGATAGAGAGGTGGTATATGAATCAAGCGTGTTTCAGACTAGGGTTTAAGTGTGCCTGACACCTGTGTGTGTAATAAAGGGAGGTAATACATAAGAATCAAGTATGTTACAGACAAGGGGGGTAAAATAAGTATGTTGAACACCTGTGAGTGTGATAAAGGGAGGTTATATAGGAATCAAGCATGTTACAGACAAGGGAGGTAAGTATGTTGAACACTTGTGTGTGTGATAAAGGGAGGTTATATATGAATCAAACATGTAACAGACTAGGGTTTAAGTGTGCCTGACACCTGTGTGTGTAATAAAGGGAGGTAATACATAAGAATCAAGCATGTTACAGACAAGGGAGGTAAGTATGTTGAACACCTGTGAGTGTGATAAAGGGAGGTTATATAAGAATCAAGCATGTTACAGACAAGGGAGGTAAGTATGTTGAACACCTGTGAGTGTGATAAAGGGAGGTTATATAAGAACCAAACATGTTACAGACAAGGGAGGTAAAATAAGTATGTTGAACACCTGTGAGTGTGATAAAGGGAGGTTATATAAGAATCAAACATGTTACAGACAAGGGGGGTAAAATAAGTATGTTGAAAACCTGTGAGTGTGATAAAGGGAGGTTATATAAGAATCAAACATGTTACAGACAAGGGAGGTAAAATAAGTATGTTGAACACCTGTGAGTGTGATAAAGGGAGGTAATATAAGAATCAAGCGTGTTACAGACAAGGGAGGTAAAATAAGTACGTTGAACACCTGTGAGTGTGATAAAGGGAGGTAATATAAGAATCAAGCATGTTACAGACAAGGGAGGTAAGTGTGTTGAACACCTGTGAGTGTGATAAAGGGAGGTAATACATAAGAATCAAGTATGTTACAGACAAGGGAGGTAAAATAAGTATGTTGAACACCTGTGAGTGTGATAAAGGGAGGTTATATAAGAATCAAACATGTTACAGACAAGGGGGGTAAGTATGTTGAACACTTGTGTGTGTGATAAAGGGAGGTTATATATGAATCAAACATGTAACAGACTAGGGTTTAAGTGTGCCTGACACCTGTGTGTGTAATAAAGGGAGGTAATACATAAGAATCAAGCATGTTACAGACAAGGGAGGTAAGTATGTTGAACACCTGTGAGTGTGATAAAGGGAGGTTATATAAGAATCAAGCATGTTACAGACAAGGGAGGTAAGTATGTTGAACACCTGTGAGTGTGATAAAGGGAGGTAATATAAGAATCAAGCATGTTACAGACAAGGGAGGTAAGTGTGTTGAACACCTGTGAGTGTGATAAAGGGAGGTAATACATAAGAATCAAGTATGTTACAGACAAGGGAGGTAAAATAAGTATGTTGAACACCTGTGAGTGTGATAAAGGGAGGTTATATAAGAATCAAACATGTTACAGACAAGGGGGGTAAAATAAGTATGTTGAACACCTGTGAGTGTGATAAAGGGAGGTAATATAAGAATCAAGCGTGTTACAGACAAGGGAGGTAAAATAAGTATGTTGAACACCTGTGAGTGTGATAAAGGGAGGTAATATAAGAATCAAGCGTGTTACAGACAAGGGAGGTAAAATAAGTATGTTGAAAACCTGTGAGTGTGATAAAGGGAGGTTATATAAGAATCAAACATGTTACAGACAAGGGAGGTAAAATAAGTATGTTGAAAACCTGTGAGTGTGATAAAGGGAGGTAATTTAAGAATCAAGCGTGTTCGTACAAGGGAGGTAAAATAAGTATGTTGAACACCTGTGAGTGTGATAAAGGGAGGTAATATAAGAATCAAGCATGTTACAGACAAGGGAGGTAAGTGTGTTGAACACCTGTGAGTGTGATAAAGGGAGGTAATACATAAGAATCAAATATGTTACAGACAAGGGAGGTAAAATAAGTATGTTGAACACCTGTGAGTGTGATAAAGGGAGGTTATATAAGAATCAAACATGTTACAGACAAGGGGGGTAAAATAAGTATGTTGAACACCTGTGAGTGTGATAAAGGGAGGTAATATAAGAATCAAGCGTGTTACAGACAAGGGAGGTAAAATAAGTATGTTGAAAACCTGTGAGTGTGATAAAGGGAGGTTATATAAGAATCAAACATGTTACAGACAAGGGAGGTAAAATAAGTATGTTGAAAACCTGTGAGTGTGATAAAGGGAGGTAATTTAAGAATCAAGTGTGTTACAGACAAGGGAGGTAAAATAAGTATGTTGAACACCTGTGAGTGTGATAAAGGGAGGTAATATAAGAATCAAGCATGTTACAGACAAGGGAGGTAAGTGTGTTGAACACCTGTGAGTGTGATAAAGGGAGGTAATACATAAGGATCAAGCATGTTTCAGACAAGGTAGGTAAGTGTTAAAAACGCGTGTGTGATCAATGGAGGTAAAATAAGAATCAAGCATGCTGCAGACAAGGGAGGTAAGTGTGTGTGACACCTGTGTGATACAGGGATATTATATAAGGATCATGTGGAGCGAGTGTGACAGACCAAGTTTTGTTGTCAGATCCTGTGTATGTGATACAGGGAGGTTATATAAGAATCATGTGGAGCGAGCGTGACAGACCATGTTTTGTTGTCAGATCCTGTGTGTGTGATACAGGGAGGTTATATAAGGATCAAGTGGAGGGAGCGCGACAGACCGAGTTTTGTTGTCAGATCCTGTGTATGTGATACAGGGAGGTTATATAAGGATCATGTGGAGCGAGCGTGACAGACCGAGTTTTGTTGTCAGATCCTGGAGGCAATGGACAAGGACAGTGGAATCCCCCTGTCGTCCCTCCAGGTGGACGGCGGCATGACCATCAGCAACATCTGCATGCAGCTGCAGGCCGACATCCTCGGCATGAAAGTTGGTAAGTTGGGAGATTTAGCTGTAACATTGAGCAGCGCATGCAATGATTGCTATTGGCCAGTGAATGTAAGTGAATGTAATAATGTATCTTAGTGAGTGAGTTAAGTCATATCGGTAATATTTCAGCCATATCGTGACTAATGCAATTTATACATCATAAAAAACAACAACATTAATTTAGACTATACAAAAAACCTGTCAGGACAGTAAAATTACTAGACTTATCACAGATGTCAATTATTAAAACTAGTATGTGACCATAAAAAGCTATTACTAAACAGAACAATACAATGTAAAAACGGGCTATAGATCGCCAGTAATTGAAGGTAGATCACCATACTAGGGGCCATGAGGACTTATAGTACCTTTGCTACCTACATGGGCCCCAGCAGGATTTACACCATCCCCTCAGTCGCTGGCGATTGTAAGTTTAGCCATTGATTAAAACTGACAAATATACTTAGATTTCAAACCGATGTAAGAATAAATGTACTTTGAATGATGTGGACTCACATATCCTCTCAGGGGGACAATAATTTTAGGCTACTTCAAACCCCTTTGAAGATATTGCCACGAACAATCTAAGTTACATATTATACATTATTATACACAATTCAAAATGTATCAAAAAGTTCAATTTCTTTTAAAAAGCCTATAATTAAATGAGAACTGATTCTATTAAAAAGATCCGTCAATGATGATGATTTGAAATATTTATCCCTTGTAATGGAAAAATAATAATGTATATTAAATGTTACATTGTCCAGTGAATGTAAGTGAATGTAATAATGTATATTAAATGTTACATTGTCCAGTGAATGTAAGTGAATGTAATAATGTATATTAAATGGTACATTGACCAGATGATTGATACTTTGCAAAATAAGTAGGGGATATTTTGTTTTGAGGTGAAACGAAAGGAAAATTTGACAATGTCTGGCAATGAAAGTAAGTGATTTATTTGTCAAGAACATTTCCGAAGAAATCAAGCTCCCAAACACGACATTAAGTCATAAAGCATGTGACCTCGGACCACACATGCAAAGGGCATTTCCTTTTGCCAGTACCAATCTGAAGATATGTCATAATGATTCCCACTATCCCCTACTATTTTTGCATTCTGTACTTATGAGTATTGAATGTTTCATTGACCAGCTCATGTAATGATTACTGGTGAATGTTACATTGACCAGCTAATGTAATGATTACTGGTGAATGTTACATTGACCAGCCAACGTACGTAATGATTACTGGTGAATGTTACATTGACCAGCCAACGTACGTAATGATTACTGGTGAATGTTACATTGACCAGCTAATGTAATGATTATGGGTTAATGTTACATTGACCAGCATGTGTAATACTCATGGGTGACTTATGCATGTGAATTTGACAGTACGACCATCGATGCCAGAGACCACGGCGCTAGGGGCAGCAATGGCTGCCGGTGCAGCAGAGGGGATTGAAATTTGGAGTCTCGACCCAAAGGACCTGACCACAATCACCACTGATGTGTTTGAACCCTCGGTGTCCAAGCAGGGTAAGCTGTCTGTCTTTGTGTCCATCTCAACTCTACTTGTCCTAGGTGGGAGTCTCTGAACTTCTCAGTAACTTCTGTTCCTGTCTGTTTCAAAGATGTTCAGACCACCTCCGTGGTCTAGTGGTAGAGCGTCTGCCCGGAGAGCGTAAGGTCCGGGGTTCGATCCCTGGCCGCATTATACCAAAAGACGTTAAAAGATGGTACTTGTTGTTACCCTGTCTGGCGCTCAGCATTAAGGGGCTAAAACAAGGACTGGTCGGCTCGGAGTCAGTATACTGTGTCTGAGTGGGGTATTCATGTTAAACTGCGGCATGGTATCTCAGTAGGCTAGCACTATAAATCGGCATCAGTCCTGACTAGTACAAGCAGCCACACAAACACACACACGTACATGCACGTTGCTATATAAGTGCAATAATCCTGGACGAGACGTTAAACCCCATTTCACCTCACCTCATAGATGTTCAATGTAAAAGATGTGACATATCAATGTGTTGAATGTGTGGTGTGGCAGATCGTGACAAGCGGTTCCTGCGCTGGAAGATTGCCGTGGAGAAGAGTATGCACTGGGCGACGGAGGAGCAGCAGACAGGTGAGTGTCAGTTTGGGATGTAACCATTCACCCAACATTTGATTCATTGTGATACTCTCAGATTACAGCCTGTGTGTCGATAGGAGACACAGTAAATACTAAAGGGATCGGGTGGTGTGGCTCGCTCACTTGGTTGATGTACCCATTTGCGTGGATCGATGCTCAGGATATCAATCACTGGATTCTCTGATCCAGATTTCATTATTTATAGCCCACCATTATATTGCTGGAATATTGCTAAATGGGGCGTTAAATAACAAACAAATAAACAAACAAACAAACAAAACATATATGGGTCTCTATCAAGCACAGCATGGACATCCTACATGCAGCTTTCCTGGTGACCTGGTCACATAGCTGGAATATTGCTGAGTGCAGCGTTAAACAGCATGAAAGTGAAACTGTGAATCCTGGTAGACTATATATTGTATGTTAATGTTCTAATGTTCCATGGGGCTGTGGGGTAGCCTTCTGGTTAAAGCTTTCACTCGTCAAGCTGAAGACCAGGCTTCAATTCCCCACATGGGTACAATGTGTGAATCCCATTTTTGGTGTCCCCTGCGTTGCTGGAATATTGCTAAAAGTGGCGTAAAACCATACTCACTGTAATGTCCTGCAACATGTCTGTCAATAACTTGTGTCTCTCTGTCAAGCATAGCGGGGAGATCCTACATGCAGCGTGCGATTCCTGGCGGACTTTACTTCTGGGGGTCGTTTGGGCTGCTGATCCTTGCTGAGATTGTTGGTAACAGATGACAACGTCCTTCTATATAGGCAGCATAACCAGTCATATACTCACTCTAGTGTCCACCTCATGGTCGCTGAAGGCAGCTGTTTGCACCCTGGTGGAGTGGCAGACAGTGTGGAACTTCATTCATCTTCCACAGTTCGACGATCATCAACAGCAGTAAACTGATGTCATGATGAAGTGTGAAGTAATCTGATATCCACAGTAGTTGTTTTTTGTGTGAATGTTGTCCTGATGTGCTGGACACAAGTGTCCCAGTTTGCCCGCCGTCAGGCAGTGTGAGAGAAATACAGACAGTAAACATCATGGTATCCCACCCCCCACCTCAGAGTCCAGCAGTATTGCACACAGTTTACCTCATGGTAAACCCCTCCTTTCTCCCATCTTCCCACAGTCCAGCAGTATTACAGACAGTAAATTCCATGGTTACCCCATCCCCAATCTCCCATCTCCACACAGTCCGGCAGTATCACAGACACCGTAACCTTCATGGTAACCCCCTCCCCAGTCTGCCATCTCCCCACAGTCCGGCAGTATCACAGACACCGTAACCCTCATGGTAACCCCCTCCCGAATCTCCCATCTCCCCACAGTCCGGCAGTAATACAGACACTGTAACCCTCATGGTAACCTTGTCCCCAATCTCCCCACAATCCAGCAGTATCACAGACACTGTAACCGTCATGGTAAACCCCTCCCCAATCTGCCATCTCCCCACAGTCCGGCAGTATCACAGACACCGTAACCCTCATGGTAACCCCCTCCCCAATCTCCCATCTCCCCACAGTCCAGCAGTAAAACAGACACTGTAACCCTCATGGTAACCTTGTCCCCAATCTCCCCACAATCCAGCAGTATCACAGACACTGTAACCGTCATGGTAAACCCCTCCCCAATCTGCCATCTCCCCACAGTCCGGCAGTATCACAGACACTGTAACCCTCATGGTAACCCCCTCCCCAATCTCCCATCTCCCCACAGTCCAGCAGTAATACAGACACTGTAACCCTCATGGTAACCTTGTCCCCAATCTCCCCACAATCCAGCAGTATCACAGACACTGTAACCGTCATGGTAAACCCCTCCCCAATCTGCCATCTCCCCACAGTCCGGCAGTATCACAGACACCGTAACCCTCATGGTAACCCCCTCCCCAATCTCCCATCTCCCCACAGTCCAGCAGTAATACAGACACTGTAACCCTCATGGCAACCTTGTCCCCAATCTCCCCACAATCCAGCAGTATCACAGACACCGTAACCCTCATGGTAACCCCCTCCCCAATCTCCCATCTCCCCACAGTCCAGCAGTAATACAGACACTGTAACCCTCATGGTAACCTTGTCCCCAATCCCCCCACAATCCAGCAGTATCACAGACACTGTAACCGTCATGGTAAACCCCTCCCCAATCTGCCATCTCCCCACAGTCCGGCAGTATCACAGACACCATAACCTTCATGGTAACCCCCTCCCCAATCTCCCATCTCCCCACAGTCCAGCAGTAATACAGACACTGTAACCCTCATGGTAACCTTGTCCCCAATCTCCCCCTAATCCAGCAGTATCACAGACACTGTAACCGTCATGGTAAACCCCTCCCCAATCTGCCATCTCCCCACAGTCCGGCAGTATCACAGACACTGTAACCGTCATGGTAAACCCCTCCCCAATCTGCCATCTCCCCACAGTCCGGCAGTATCACAGACACCATAACCTTCATGGTAACCCCCTCCCGAATCTCCCATCTCCCCACAGTCCGGCAGTATCACAGACACCGTTAGTCTTCCATGATATCCCTCCAGGGCCCTGTTCAACAAAGTGATCTAAGCGCTAAGATGATCATAACTCCCATACTTTAACATAGACTTACAACAATCATAGCCCTACGATTGCTTTGTGGAACAGGGCCCAGGGCTGCTTCACTGAGTCAAATTACAGTTGTAGGAATAGCATGATATTGCACAGCTACTCAAGGCTACTCAAGGTTTTAATGTGCAGCCTTAGCCAAAGCAGCCTATCAGACACCACAACACCCTGTTCACATGTCCTGAGATGTGGTGTTGTCAGCAACTGTCAGCAACCTGTCAGCAAATCACATTCCTGCCCTTGAAACACAAGGCACATCAGGTGACTCAACTGAGAGGTTGTGTGCTGTACCCTCACTATAGGCCTACAACTTATACCCACTTGTTATACCTTGTTTTGTTAGCTTTTGCATATTTTTGTCAGTTATGTATACCTCACATGTGAAAAGGATTGTCTGCATAAACACATTTACCCCATGTGTGTCATGTACTCAGTGGAAGGATGATTGTGAAGACCTCCTACTTGTAAAGACAGATGGTGTTTTCACAAATATAACATACTCAGTTGTATATGGGTTGTAACATCAAGAAAGGTGGTCACTTACTGTACCCATCAGTGTATCAACATTGATTTAAGTTCATGGAACAATGTTTGTATACACTGTACTTGGTTCCACTATTTCTTGTGCAGAGTTGTGTCCCTTTGTCATCCCAGGATCTGCTGATTGTGGCATCGAATAGCAGATGCCACTCATTATGGTCCTTGATTTGTCGGATCATTTCTATTCTCTGTCGTAAAGAGATGAAGATTTCTATGTATGAAGACCATCTCTTGTAATATATTCAAAGATCATGAATATATTTTATGATAGAATTATTTATTCTGTAACAAACTGTACTTAAGCAGGGTCTATACTTAAACCTTGGTACCTTCATTGATGGTACTTAACTGCTTGGAGACCTTTTCCAATATGAACTTGATACAGATGTCAAGAAAGTTTTGAAAGCAGTAAACAGTACATTTGTCGGGTAAATATATCAGTGTTCTGTGTAGACCAACGAAGCCAGGTTTATGTCTCCTCAACTGACACGTAGACACTGCCATTGATCTGCACCGGGTGTGTCTGTCAGTTTTGTTCCAAGAATTATTCCATCTCACATTCTCCAGACAATTGAGTGACCTTGGTGTTCAATAACTGGATACACTTCAACATCATGTGACCTTCATGCATATATGTGTAAAGTCCATGTATTTCAGCGTTATAAAAAGAACATCTGCAATAATAACATGTTTTCTATTGAACTTTGTACTGTTGTGTTTTATGGTTGGTCATTTCTGAATGAAGGATGTCCTCAACATTTCCCACTTTATAATAATCATTAGTTATAGATTTATATGGCACATCTTATCCAGATAGTCCTTGCTCAAAGAAGAAGAATCTCCATGAAGAGAATCCAGGTAGAGCATATGTGTCCAGCAACCCATTCTTACCGTTAAAGGAGACTATGTTTGTCCAAAAAGGCGACTGACAGGATCGGGTGGTCAGCCTGCCAGAACTGGTGGTTGCATGTAATCGTAGATCGATGCTCATGTTGTCAATCCCTGGATTGTCTGGTCCTGACCTGATTATGGTTGGGATATTGGTGAGTGTGGCGTTAAACATAAAACAAACAAGCCCCCCCCCCCCCCCCTCAAATGCCCATGCTCTAGTCTTCTGCCCCTTTTAAAAAGTATGATCTTAGGGTTGGCTGGAAGCTACTCACATCAACTGGTAGTTCATTCCATGCCAGCACTGCTAAAGTTTGACATGCACACCACAATACCAGGTTAGTGAAGCATTGTAAGTTTTTTAGTGTACACTGGATCCAGACCATGGAGTGGTTAGTGGACAAATACCAGCAGTTTGAACATGATTAACTGTCTGACAATTAGGCAATTCAGATTGTTGGGGACTGATGTCATGTGGTTGCACATTTAACATCTAGTGATGAGACCCTGCATCTGATGCTTGCCGGGGGGGTAAATGTGCTGAATGACATGATAGCTGCTGGAATAGTCTCGTCTTGACATATGACTTGTTTGATATTCCGCATCTGATTGTGTGGACTTTGTAGATGTTATTCACATGATTTGTTAAACTGAATGTTGAATCAGTGATTGGCCTAGATTTCTTCTGTGACAGGTTGGTTGAACAGTATTGTCCACGACCTGTATATTGGGAAGTTGAAGCTGTATTTTTTAAAACTGATAATCAGTTTTGTCATCTTTTGGTTTGAGGAAGTTGTCATCATCCTACTTTTGCAGTCAGTATTGCAGGCCATAGAGTTATGAGCATGTATTTGTGTGACACACTATACATCTGCAGGTTCCACCTTATAAGTGCAGCATAGCTTACTGTTGTGAAGTCATTCCAAATTAAAACACAAATGTTAACCCAGAAGTTGATATGTACAGTGCTACATTGTGAAGTGGGTAAATCACCACACAAGATCAATGCATAATCTATAAAATCCACCATCATATTCGGTACTTCTAAATCACTTTACAGTACACTCAATTTTTTAAATCTGTGGAAGTGGTTTCCATCAAGCTCCAGAAATAGACACTGTTTTTACCAGAAATTCTTGGGTATACGAACTTCATTGTGTGCATCAATTTTGGAAAGTTTCGTGGATGTCAGTTCAGTGATTTTCGTGTATCTCGTCTTATTCTTGAAGGACTCTGACCTGCTGGTTCGGCTATGGGTCGTGTTGAACCAAATGTCGACCCCACATGCGTCAGACTGTCAGTCAGCTTGGCAGAAATGGTAATTCGCTTCAAGAGAACATTTTTGAATTAGCTATCAATTTCATAGACAGATTGACTTCGACTCTTCCCCCACCGGCAGTCGCCAAAACTCCAAAAATGTTGGGAAAAAAAACGTTTGGAAGTCCCGGCAAGGCAGAGAAAACTTACTAATTGGGCAAGCCCTCTAGGATATGCGATGATGACCAGCTTGCTCCAAACGCAGAATGTGCACGGAATGGAAGGACAGTCTGCATAAACACATTTACCCCATGTGAAGTAAACAAACATGGGATACTGGATACGAAGATAGTCCAGTGGATATATAACCTCGGGTGAAGAAGATCCCTTTGATTTGTAACTGACAAAATGTAACAAGATAATAAACGACAATCAATCGCAAGACGAAGATGATATCTCTGTCATTCACCAAATGGTCGGTGAATTTAGGTATTTTGAGGAAAATGAAGAAACTGCTGGTAATGTGCGTGATGATCTTGCCAAAACAATGAGGGGCAAACAACCTAGCATGTTTAAGTTGAAGGCTGTTGAGGAGCACTATAAGAGGTCTAAAAACTGAGGTTTAACATAACTCTTGTAAATGAAGAAATCTGGAACCAAGTCCCACACACGTACGGGAGATCTCAAGGAACAGCAATTACATGGTCTGCTGATGAAGGCTGTGATTCCACTTGCTCAGATCACTGATTTGCTGATGTCAGTAGACCCGTGAAGATCCAGGTTAGAATAGGTCTTCAGCAACCCATACTGGCCGTGAAAAGCAACTGCTGGTCGTAAAAGGCGACTAAAGGGATCGGGTTGTCAGGTTGTTGACCTGGTTGATACAGGTCATCGATCCCAATTGCTTGGATCGATGCTCATGATGTCAATCACTGGTTTTTCTAGTCCAGACTCGATTATTTTACAGACCGCCTCCATATAGCTTGAATATAGCTGAGTGCGGCATAAAACAAAACAAAACAAAAAAAAAGCTGATGTCAGTGTTTTTTTAAAAGAAGGAACTGGACACAGATTATCAGGTTATAAGCTGGGGCCAAAACAGACATCAACACAAAGCAACGAGAGTGTTTCAAACAAGATCAAAGTGGGTAAAATGTATGTCTGCTTGCGCCCAACACTGCGACACAAGTACTTGACATGAGCTGAAACTTGTATTGCATCATGCCCTTTGTGTATTCTAAATCTTCTCATTAGCATGTTCTAAGCTACTTCCGGGTCAAATTCCGAATCAATTATACACCAGTAATCATGTTTTTATTGAATGTGGTCAAGTCCATCAAGATGTAACTTGTGATGCTTACAAGGTGAACCACCAGGTCCTGGTGTCGATAGGAGGAAGGCCCTGTGCAGCAATAACAGGTTTTGATTTTTCAGCATTCCTATTTTGTTTTCGAAATACAGCTGTTGGTCAGTAGGTAAGGTCTTGGTGTATTATGTTTTCACATCTGAGACAAAATAGTCTGAAGCCCCTGAATTACTGTGATAGTAGAATCTGGGATATGCCCCAACATTTTAGACCACAACAGTACATTGTGTACAGTATTTAATGTGTTATCGATACTGTTAAAGTTCACCATTGTGAATGCAGCATTCTGATCAAAGTTACTATCCAACAATGCAAACGATATTACAGTGTAAAAGTTTGTGGCATGGATTTCCTTTCGTCCACCAAAAAGAATGACGAACATTTTCTGAACTGACAATTTAGAATTATTCAATCACAGCATTTGTTTTGTGTCCTTTTACAACTATGGCACCAGAGACGTTCATCAGGGATAAATCTGGTATTAGAACCAGTTGAATTGTTCTCCCTGCATCAGTTTTCCATTTCTGGAGCAGAACTCCTAAACCATTAAATAATTCTTGTTGAAACTTTCTATACAGATCAGTCTCGTGGTGAACTGGTTCCTTTTTTTTGATGATTTGGGATATTTAAAAAAAATAAATTTTGTTTTCATGAAGACAAGTGGACATGTACTGAAAATGAGGCTAGTGCTCGTTTCTGGAACGGAACTCCCAAAACGTTAAAAATTCTTTGATGAAACTTGGGTCACAGATCAGTCTTGTGGTGAACTGCTGCCTTTTGATGATTTGGAATGTTGGTTTTTATTTATAATTATTTTTCAACACAAGTTGGACTTTACTGAAAATGTGGGTAGTGCTCGTTTTTGAGCAGAACTCACAAACCATTGACTATTTCTTGATAAAACTTGCTATACTGATCAGCCTTGTGGTGAACTGGTGCCTTTTGATCATTTCGGGTATGGAAAAATACTGAACAGCCTTATTGTTTTCCTAAGTTAACTGAAGGTATCCAATGGCAATGAACCAAAAGTGGGGTAAAAGTAGCCAAACTCCATTTCTGAATTGCACCTGACCAGGGGCATCTGATAACTCTGATTTCGTCCTCACACAAGATCCACAAGGTGCGCTTTTCTGAACTTCAGTAAAAAATAGAAATGCCCTCTTGAAATACCTATACTAATTGACCCATGGTGAACAAATCCTTTTACCGAGACCTGCGAGAGTCAATCACCGTAACCCCCTGTGAAGATCCAGGGGAGAATAGGTCTTCAGCAACCCATGCAACCAACTTTTGTGCAACGTAATTGTTCAAACACATTTTCAATAAAGCAACTAATATATTGGAATTTAAAGAGTTATTTCACATACCACGACTAAAACAGGACTACCAAAGGACATAGACGAAAGACCAATTAAAAAATCATTTTATTTTGAAACTCTTCTAAAATCGCAACTTAAAATGATTTAATAAAAGAGCCATGCTACAATGAATATAATCTTCATGATGGGGAGTTACCCAGTAACGAGCACTGAGGCTGATTCTGGCGTGGGTGAAAATGATGCAGCTTTATCAAGCAAGTACTCTCCAACGTCCTGATAAAATCTAAGTCAACGCAAACCGTTCTCTATTGTTCATCCTGAAACTCAAAGCTGGAATATTACTGACAGTGACATTGAATAGCACTCGCTCACACAAACGTCTCGAGCTGTTTTACAAGACAGGTCTGTGTTTCCTGAGTATTTTACTCAACGTACAGACGGTGTTCAAAATATTTAATCGCCCTTAATATGCATTCTATATTGTGAATGAAAATATGGGGTTGCATGTGCTGTGAATGGCTGAGCCTTTAGAGAAAGAACTGATTCAACCTACTACATCTCAACAGAAACACGCACATATGAAGTCGGTCGACACTCGTCAACCAAAATGTCTAATGTCAACCTTGAAGATCAGGATTTGAATTGGTCTTAAATGCTCATGATGTCAATCACTGGATTCTCCGGGGCCAGACTTTATTATTTACAGACTACCGTCGTATAGCTGGATCATTGCTGAGTGTTGTGTTTAACAACAAACAAACGTCAACTGAAATGGCCAACAATGCACTGGTTAAATGGTTTCTAAGATGGTTGGTTGGTTGGTTTGCTGTTTCACGCCGCATTCAGCAAGATTCCAGCTATATGACGGCGGTCTGTAAATAATCGAGGCTGGACCAGACAATCAAGTGATAAATATCATGAGCATCGATCCACGCAATTGGGATCGATGACATGCATCAACCAAGTCAGTGAGCCTGACCACCAAATCCCGTTAGTCTCCTTTTACGACAAGCGTAGTCACCTTTTACGGCAAGCATGGGTTGCTGAAGACCTATTCTACCCCGGAATCTTCATGGGTCTTTTAAGATGAAAATGATGCTTGTTCACTCCTGAATCTGAGAATGTCTAACTGCTTTTATTTCTTCCATAGGACGTCAAATGGCCAGCTTTGGTACTGATTCGGGTCTAATTTCCTGCCGCCGATACGTGGTTCATATGCAGAATACTTCAGTCCAGATAACAAATCAACCAGGTTCTTACCATTAATGTCGGATTTCATGAGTACCCATTCCATTAAAATTCCAGGAACTTCTATCTCTTTGAAAAATCTGTCTGTACCGTTGAGAACATAATATTCATACTCTTGTATGTCCACTTTAAGAAATGCTTTCTTGAAAGGCAGGTAGGGCAACGTATCATCTAGGGTTATAGTATAGGAGTCAGTGGACTCGTCACAGGGGGATTGAGAAGAAGACCCGTTGGGTGCTACAACACTTGTCCCTCCAACGTTGCCATCTTCGCGCTTGAAACTCACGAGGGAATGGTTAGCCCCAAGTGGATTGAATAGGATTGTCATCCTGTCTGTGAAGCCTCCTTTCTGGATGGACTTACACAGCCTCTGGACATTCTCTATGAGCGGATCCACAGACACCACCTTCCTCCCAAACTTGGCCACAGACAGGGAGAAGGCACCGACATGAGATCCTAGATCCAGGAAGCCAAGTTCAGGGTCCTTCTTTAATTCTGACAGAACGAGGTGGATGTTGCCAGGTTCCCACGCTCCCTTCAGTTTTATGTCTTTCGAAACCCAGTGATCAACCATTATGTCGTGTATATGGATCGGTGTCTCCCCTGATTGTGACTTCAGAGGAACACAATCAAAATTAACTGACCATGTGCAGAAATCATGAAGTTGTTCTATTTTCCTTCCATTGAATCTATACACCAAGGTTTTACCAGTACTGGGGGTGGTCTTGGAAGAGGATGACCGGCTAGTATCAGCTGTCCTGTATAAGAAGTGAGGAAGGACCACATGTTCAAAGAACAGCATTAAGAAGGCACCGGCGACCACGAGAAGCAACGGAGACCATCTACGGAATGATACCATGGTGGTCAGGGGATCACAGGAGGCAACAGATGAATTCTGAAATAAAAATAGATTTCGGTTACATAGCAGAATGTTAGTTATTGTGGTTTGGACTGGATAGGACTTACAAGAATATTTTGGATTAGTTTTTTTCCCATGTGTAGATGTTAAAACCAGTAGATAGTAGTTTTATTGGGGCATTCAGGAGTGATAACGAGATAGTACATCCCATGGCCTAGTTGTATTTGGGCGTCTTTAAATTAAAGATTTATATACTCACACGCAAAAGAAACGCAAGTCAAGTATGCAGTATACATGTTATTTATTTTCAACTGTAAAGACAAGAAATACTAATAGGGCAAGATTGACAAAGATTTGACTGAAGATAGTTTAATGGATTAAAAGGCAGATGACATAATTGTTTTTTTCAAATGTTAAGGGCTTACACAGTTTCGGGTCCATACCCAAAATGTCAGTCAATACCTGGTGTGACCAACATTAGCATTGATCACATATCTCCTGTACATTGAGTGGATCAGACGATTTGTGAAGGCCCTAGGGATCCTCCTGCACACATCCAGAGCAGCTGTGCGTAATTCATCGGCAGTTGTAGGGACTGGGCGCACATTGTGCAGACGCCTTTGAACCTCATCCCACAAGTGTTCGATGGGGTTCAGATTAGGGCTGAGGGCTGGCCACGGTAGAATACGGATGTTGTGTTGTTGCAGAAAGGCCATGGTAGCTCTTGCAACATGGGGACGAGTGTTGTCCTGTTGGAAAATGTGTTGTTGATGTTGTGCAAAAAATGTAAAAACGTGGGGTCTGATCACTTGGTCGATATACCGCTGAGCAGTGACGCCGTGTCCCCGACCTTGACCAACATTCAGAAAGCACATGGGTCCAAGTCTCGCATTAAGTCCAATCCCTGCCCATATCATGACGCTAGGTCCACCCCATGGATCCCTTTCCACAATGTTTCTGTCAGCGAAACGATCACCTCGACGCCGCCAAATTCTGACTCTTCCGTCTGCATGGGAGACACAAAAGCGACTTTCATCAGAGAAAATGACACGCCTCCACTCACGATGACGCCAATTGTGATGACCCTGTGCCCACTGAAGTCGTGCTTGTCGATGCCGTGGTTGGAGAACAGGACGACAAGCTGGTCGGCGACATCTGAGGTTGTCGGATCACAGTGTTCCTTGAGGGAAATTCAGTTTAACTTTAATGAGGAAAGTATAGATTGTCTCAATAAAATTCTGGGAGATATCCAATCTTCACGTCTGGAGAAAGCAGAAGTTTCTGTAACGTTAATTGGAGCACGACAGGATCAACAGAAGGAACAAGCTTATCAAAATAGCAGATACATCTGAAGGTGAGTGAGAAACGGTTAAGAACTGTTTCACATGAGCTGACGGATGATTCCGATGACGACAAACGTATCAACAGAGCTGAAAGCAAAGCTGTCCGAAAACTCAAACAGAAACGTGCCAGGCAAGCGCCGTACTCTACAAATAGGTCAAGACGATCGGCGACTGTCACCCATCCCGTGCACGTTGCTGTTCAGCCTGGTTCTACTTTACATCATATGCAACCAATCACCAACCAGCTTTTTCGTGGAAAAGGGCAAAGATCAGGGGCCTGTTTCGCATGCGGCGAATTCTCTCACTTTGTGAAAGACTGCCCTTACTTCGGAACAGGTCAAGGGGCGACAGCCGGCGGACAGGTTGCCTCAAGTCAGCAACGCCAGTAGTTCTGGTCAAGATTTGTCAGTTAAGTATTTCAATGATAACTTTGTCATCAATGATAGCAAGCTCACAGATAGTTTTTTTGAGTATGAACAAGGTACAACTGAATTCTTAGTCAGGGGCCGTCTCAAAAGTAAAAAACAGTATTGGCGTCAGATAGGTGCATCTCAGTGTGTTAATGATTGGATTGCTAATCGATATATAATTCCGTTCATTACGCCGCCGCCTAATTTTCATAATAACAATTCCGCTATTAAACACTGAGATTGTGTCTCGCAGGCTATTGGTGAGCATCTGATGTACCAATGTGTTGCTCCTCCTTGTATTGTTAGTCCTTTGTCTGTTTCAGTACAGTCGTCAGGACAAAACACGTTTAATCCTTGATCTTAGCAGAGTGAATAAATATATCTTCAATCCGTGAAGATTCCGGGGTAGAAAAGGTCTTCAGTAACCCATGCTTGCCGTAAAAAGTGACTATGCTTGTCGTAAAAGGCGACTAACGGGATCGGGTGGTCAGGCTCGCTGACTTGGTGGATGCATGTCATCGATCCCAATTGCGTGGATCGATGCTCATGATATTAATCACCGGATTGTCTGGTCCAGACTCGATTATTTACAGACCGCCGTCATATAGCTGGAATATTGCTGAGTGCGGCGTTAAACAACAAACCAACCAACCAACCAACCAAATATATCTTCAAGCAGAGTATTAAACATGAAGATTGGTAGACCACATTAGCATATATTAATATGAAAGATTGGTTGATAAAATTTGATATCCATCATATCAATCAGCATACCATCATATAGACATCATTACATCTCAAACTGATTGTTATGGTTTTGCTTGGCTTAACGAAGCAGGTAGAATATGCTGCTACAAGTTCTTGGTTTTGCCTTTCGGTTTGACGTATGCTCCATATGTTTTTACGAAAGTCATGAGACAGCTAGTCAAAAAGTGGAGGTTTGATGGCCATAAGATGAGTTACCTTCCTAGACGACGGCATTCTATCTGTATCTATGGATATTGGAGCGCAGACAGCAGGGTGTGATATAAAGAGTGATCTGCTTTGTTCAGGATTTGTTCCTAAAGTTGAGAAATAGCTTTCGCTACCGTCGCAATCTCTTGAATGGCTTGGTTTCGCTACTACTTCCATGATTATCACTGTACCTCTCAGGAAGGTTGACAAGGTCAAACAAGCTATTACTAAACTTTGGGGGCGGTCGGGTAGCCTAGTGGTTAAAGCATTCGCTCGTCACGCCGAAGACCCGGGTTCGATTCCCGACATGGGTACAATGTGTGAAGCCCATTTCTGGTGTCCCCCGCCGTGATATTGCTGGAATATTGCTAAAAGCGGCGTAAAACCATACTAACTCACTCACTAAACTTTGACAATACAAGACTAAACGTGTATCGGTTAGATCTGTAGTATCAATTGTTGGTCAATTAATTTCTATGAAATTAGTGATAGGACAAGTTGTACAACTTCTATATACAGATGCTAGCATCAAGCAGTTGACATTTTGGCGTCGCAATATACATAGGTATATTTCTAGAACGATTGTGCAGACAGCAGTGACAAAAAGATTGGTGTATTGGTGGATACAAGCCAATGTTTATGGTTTTCCAAAGCTTCGTTGCAACCCTAGGTCATCAGAGAGTCAAATGGTATACTGACAGTCAACATGTTGTATCTGTTATTGAGAAAGGTAGTATGAAGTTCCAATCACAATCGCTTGCTTTGCAGCTCTTTGATCTATGTTTACAGGACAGTGTTGAGCTCCATCTCCAGTGGATTGCTCGCTATGAGAACATGCAAGCTGACTATCTTAGCAAGCTAATTGATGGTTGGGGTATTTCCAAAAATAAGATTTCAGGAACTAGATGAGAAATGGGAACCCCATCAAGTTGATAGGCTCGCTTCATATCATAACACAAAAGTTGTCCAGTTTAACTCTCGTTTCAGTAATCCTGGATGGCAGGAAGTGGACTGTTTCACCGTCAACTGGAGAGGTACAATTAGTTGGGGTGTTCCCCCTATTTGTTTGCTACTGCGAGTAATCAAACACATGGAAGAGTGTCGTGCGGTTTGAACGTTGGTCGTCCCAGAGAGGCATTCAGCGGGCTTTTGGCCACTGTTATATGTGAATTCTGAGTGTGTTTTGCAAATCAAAGATCAAATATATTTCCCTAGGGCCAAAGTAGCTTATGTTGCAAGCAGAATCAAAGGCGGTTTGTTCGGTGAACACGATTTGCATTTTTATGTGTATTTTATGTTATATTTTGTTGTGTGTTTATATATCCTTCTGAATGCCCATAGTGATGAACTTGATAAACTCCCTTTGAATGGTTAAGCTGGACATCTGTATACCAGGGTTGTTGGTGCGGGCCAGGGCAGATTCTACTTATAAAAAAATAGCTGGATTTGCTGGTAGGAAAAGTGAGTGAGTGAGTTGGGTTTAACGCCGCTTTTAACAGTATTCCAGTTATATCTCGGCGTGTCAGCTTAATGTGGAACGAAAACCCGAAGTGATGCAGGTCTCGGACTTTTACCACATCGGTGAAACCCACGAGCACGGGTATGGTGCTGACAAACCTAGAAACATAATCGGGGCGAACCGTGATTCGAACCCAAAATCATAGGTTTCTGGCGTGCCAAAGGGACGCAACTCTGCACAACAAATCGAGGCGCCTTAGACGACTGGGCCACCCGTGCCCCCTGGTTGGAAAAGGTGGGAAAACGCAAATAATATGTGTGATCAGTTACCTGTCTTGCATTTCCATTGTGCTATTTGTTTGTTGTCTGTTGTGCAACAGAGTGAAACATTATCACAAGTGTTAACGGCATTTTGTAGTTTCAGGCATGCTCATTGTAACATTGGACTAGAGAGTCCCACTGAAAATAGCCTTGTCAAGAATGTTCTGGAAGGAGCTAGGCGCAAATTGTCTAAGCCAGTGGTTAAAAAGGAGCCAATCACAGTTGATATACTTGAACGTTTGTTTGATAAAAAAAATGATAAATGCATCTTTAATGGATTTTTAAGATCTGCAGAACTAATTCATATATCTCGATCTGATATTTTGTTTCATAAGTCACACATGGTCGTATTATTTACAAGCTGATTGTGATCAGTACATATTCAGGAATGCAAGCAAATGTCGTTCAGGCTATGTTCTTAGAACGGACAATGTTCCACTGTCTTATACCAGGTTAGGGAACAATTTATTGATGCTTTAACTCCCTTTGTTGACAATATCAAGAAGTATGGTCTGCATAGCTTACGCAGTGGTGATGTTACTACAGCTGCAAATATTTGTATACCAGATCGAATGTTTAAACGACATGGGCGTGGGAGAAGCGAAAACGCTGAAGATGGTTACGTCAAAGATAGTATTGATAACAGAATGAAAGTTTCATTTTCCTTAGGCCTGCAACTGTCTTTGTACATCTCGGCCGTGTGTCACACAGCGTATTCCAATGTTAATGGTGTTGTGTCTTAATTAAGTGAGTGAGTGAGTATGGTTTTACCCCGCTTTTAGCAATATTCCAGCAATATCACGGCGGAGGACACCAGAAATGGGCTTCACACATTGTAACCATGTCGGGAATCGAACCCGGGTCTTCGGCGTGACGAGCGAAGACTTTAACCACTCGGCTACCCGACCGCCCCGCCTTGATTAAGTATGTACACATGTAGGAGGCAAGGAGAAATAATATTTCCCTCGTTTAAAGAATGAATGAGATAGAAATAATTTTCTCCTAGCGGTATGTCGACAATCAAGGTGATTATGTGCCCCTTGGTGGCGTGATTAAGGGAGTATTTTAAGGGTGGTACAACTTTGAATTGCCATCTCTCGCTATCTGTGCATGCACGGCCTCACACTTGTTTCTTATAGGTTTTCTATGTACATCTATATAGTATAAGCAATATATTCTTTTCTCATTTTATGATTTATTGACTTCATGTGTCATGTGGAAATGAAATGCACATTTGGGGGTAATGTGTACTGTTGTAAGTGATGCTATTGCTTGGCTGGTGACTATTTACAGTACAGAGTTGCTTCATTGAGAAAGTGTGCATTGTTGGATGCAGTTTTATTGCTTGGCTGGCGAGTATTTACAATACAGAGTTGCTTCATTGAGAAAGTGTGCATTGTTGGATGCAGTTTTATTGCTTGGCTGGCGAGTCTTTACAATACAGCGCTGTTGCTTGGCCGGCGGGCCTTTATAATGCAGCGTTGTTTTATTGTGAAAGTGTGCATTGTTGGATACAGTCGCGTTTCTTGGCTGTCAAGCCTTTATAATACAGCGTTTTTTTATTAAGAAAGTGTGCATTGTTGGATGCAGTGATATTGCTTGGCCGGCGGGCCTTTATAATACAGCATTGTTTTATTGTGAAAGTGTGCATTGTTGGATGCAATTATATTGCTTGGCCGGCGGGCCTTTATAATACAGTGTTGCTTTATGCATGATGTGTTATTTGTAAATCTGTTAAAACTATCATTCTGCTGCAGAGCCCTTATATCACATATCTTCAAAATAAGACCATATATACTAAGCGGAAGAGCTTTGACAATACTGCATATACTATGCGAGTTGCACTGTATATAATAAATTATAACATTCTTTTGTAGCATGATGTTCATGAATTGTTAGTATTTCTGTTAGAACTTGCATATACATGTCATGAGTATACTGTATACCCTCCAGTATCTGTGCTGCATCCGTTGAGGGAACACGGTTCAAGGGTGTTCTTATAAAAGTTTTTATATGTGCTTCTACGTGTCGGGCTTCAGCAAAATATAAATATTTATAGCAGATTGCTTACCATGTATATACAAATGTGTATAAATGTATATCGTTGTCTTTGACTATATGCAAATCGGCCGTGTATCACACAGCGTATTCCAATGTTAATGGTGTTGTGTCTTGATTAAGTATGTAGGGGGCAAGGAGAACGTGGCTTAAATATCAGGCAGTTGCAGGCTTTGTCCCTGCACTGAGCTCATTGACTTCTGTAATTTGGGACGGTCGGGTAGCCGAGTGGTTAAAGCGTTCGCTCGTCACGCCGAAGACCCGGGTTCGATTCCCGACATGGGTACAATGTGTGAAGCCCATTTCTTGTATCCCCCGGCGTGATATTGCTGGAATATTGCTAAAAGCGGCGTAAAACCATACTCACTCACTCACTCACTTCTGTGAGTTATACATGGCCCCCTGTCATCAGCTGACTGCAATAGATACGTCACCACGACACCACATACCGGCCCATGGGAGTCACGGAGGAAGTTGGATTTTTACGGCACTTTTAACAGTATTCCAGTATACCACGGCGTATCAGCTTTATATGGGAAGCAACCCCAAAGTGATGCAGATTTCAGACGTTCGCCGCTTTGGTGAAACCCATTGGAACGGGATGGTGCCAACAAAACAAATGTGGACGACACGGGGTGACGGGGTACAAACCCATGACCTACTCACAATGAGTTCATGTTCAACATTCAGTTCTAATAAGGTTATTAATTATGTTTAAACTTGCCTTTTATATTCACACTAGCCTGCTGAAACTCATTTCACGTAGCTCCTGGAAAATGTCCGTATACAACCAATGTTCCCCCACGTGGTTAAAAACACCGAGGCCGGATGAACCACTCCCTATCAAAGTGATGACTTCGTGCACAGCCCTAGGTCATGTAATCTGGCATCTTGTCAGCGCTCATTCCACCTGTTACATGTTCATAACAGGAAGCGGTGTCAGTGTTGAAATGGGTTATCAGTAGCCGGTTATGTATTTCAAATTATGTCCCCGTTATAGAGACGGACCCGTAAAGATCCGGGTTAAAATAGGTCTTCAGCAACCCACGTTCGCGGTCAGAAGTGACTGAGCTTGTCGTAAGAGGCGAGTGGCGGGATTTGGTGGTTAGGCTCTCTGACTTGGTTGATGCATGCGATCGTATCCCAATTGGGTGCATCGATGCTCATGATATCAATCACTGGATTGTCTGGTCCAGACTCGATTATTTACAGACCGCCGTCATATAGCTGGAATATTGCTGAGTGCTGAGTGTGGCGTTAAACACAAAAAAACATGAACAAAAAGGACACAACTCTTCCCATAACCATAAGAAAGCTCTGCTTAAATCAGCGAGTAAATGTATTTTTTGTTTCCTATCTGTTTCTTACTTTCTTGTTCTTTCATTCCTTTCTTGCTGCAAAATAGACCGTGTAAACAACATATTCTCATCTATCGAGTTCACATGCAAAGTTATGACAATGCAAGATCAGATAATGGTTGACAATATAAAAACAATCAGCACAAACTGCCAAGACCTGAACAACAACAAAAAACGTTCAGATGTTTTTCAAAATTTTAAAAAGCAAAAAGCAAATATTGCCTGCAGGTCACCCATTTCACTGAGAACATAGAAGATAAAATTAAACATGAATGGGGATCAAAACATTGTATATTTAGTTGTTATAAAAGTGACGCCCGAGGGGTAGCTATTATGTTTGAAGAAAACTTTGAATTTAGAATATCAAAAGAAGTTCATGATAATGAATTTAGTAATTTTCTTGCTCTTAAAACGCAATTAAGAGAAAAAAACCATTTACTCTAATCAACCTGTACGGTCCAGATACCGACACGCCAGCAGTCTTCGAAAAATAATAGATATTGTCAATGAGTTTGAGTCGGACTACTGTTCCATCTGCGGAGATTGGAATTTTATCCAAAACCCAGACATTGATTTGTATAACTATAAAAACGTCAACAACCCAAACGCCAGAAAATATTAGACTTCGTAGTAGAACAATCCTTGAACTATTTTTGACCCTTGGAGAGATATGAACCCAGACGAGAGACGAGGAGACAAACCAAACCCATAAAACAAGCCAGATTAGATTACTTCTTGTTGTCAAGAGACCTTGACAAATCCGTAGATAAAGTTGGTATAGACCCTGCTAACAGACCAGATCACTCTACACATTGGATCTCGTTAAAATTTAATAGTATCGAGAGAGGAAGAGGCTATTGGAAGTTTAATAATTCCCTACTAAACGACAAAACTTTTGTCGAAAAAACTAAAGACGTAATAAAAAAACAATAGAACAATATAAAACAGGTGTTGATGAACAAGGGAATGACAGATTTAATATAGACTACCAACTTTTTTTTCGAAACACTAATGTTGATGATAAGAGGTCAAACTATAAAATACTCCTCGGAAAGGAAACGAGAGCGAGAACAGAGTGAGTGAGTGAGTATGGTTTTACGCCGCTTTTAGCAATATTCCAGCAATATCACGGCGGGGGACACCAGAAATGGGCTTCACACATTGTACCCATGTCGGGAATCGAACCCGGGTCTTCGGCGTGACGAGCCAACGCTTTAACCACTAGGCTACCCGACCGCCCCGAGCGAGAACAGAAAGAAAACGACTTACAAAAGCGTATCGAATAATTGCAAATCAATCTAGACACCTAAAAGGATATAGAAATTAAAAACGAAATACGAAAGAAACTTCAAGAGGCAAACACTGAACTGGAGGGGCGGTCGGGTAGCCAAGTGGTTAAAGCGTTCGCTCGTCACGCCGAAGACACGGGTTCGAATCCCGATATGGGTACAATGTGTGAAGCCCATTTCTGGTGTCCCCCGCCGTGGTATTGCTGGAATATTGCTAAATGCGGCGTAAAACCAAACTCACTCACTCACTCACTCACTCACTCACTGAACTGCAAGAAATGAATAACATAAAAACAGAAGGAATAATCATGCGATCTCGGGCGATCGTGGAGAGAAACGGACGTAAAACCAGCAAAATACTTCCTATCCTTAGAAAATAGGAACTATATAAATAAGTCTATAGCTAAGCTAGAAACAAAGAATGGACATACCTTGACTGAAACAAAAACTCAGAGATATAACCAACAGTTGTACACGAAACAGACATGTAAAAACGTAGACCTAGATGATATGTTTAAAGACCTTAATATTCTAAAACTAAGCACACCACAACAATTTGGCCTTGAAGGTGAGTTACAAAATGACGAAGTTTTAACATATTTGAAAAATATGAAAAATGATAAAAGTCCGGGTCTTGGTGGATTTACAGCAGAATTCTACAATTTTTTCTGGCTAGATCTGCATAAATATCTGATACGATCATTGAACCTAGGTTTCCAAAGAGGAGAATTATCAGTCAGTCAAAAGCAGGGTCAAATAACATGCATTCCTAAACAAGAAGAACTTAAAACATTGGAGAACAAATTCACCATTAAATGTCACCTATAAGATAGCATCAGCAACAATAGCAAATAGAATAAAAAAAGTTCTGCCAACAATAATTAACGAAGATCCAAGAGATTTTATGTCAAAACGGTACATTGGAGAATGCACTAGATTAATTTATGATATTATGGACTTTACTGAATGCATTGAAATCACAGGGTTATTGTTACTTATAGACTTTGAAAAGGCGTTCGATTCAGTTAATTGGGTTTTCGTACGTGAAGCTTTGACCTTTTTAAATTTTGGGACTTCAGTTAAGCACTGGATATCAACATTATATCACGATATAAAATCTAGTGTTTTAGTTAACGGTTTTGGTTCAGATTTTTGTAAAATTAACAAGAGGATGTAGACAAGGTGACCCGTTATCTCCTTATATATTCTTGTTATGCGCTTGAAGTTTGGCAATTATTCTACACACTAATTAAAATATAAACGGAATTAAGATCGATGAGATACAATATCTAAGTTCCCAATTCGCAGACGACACATATCTCACTTAAGATGGAACTGAAAATTGCCTCCAAAACACCATGAAAACTCTTCAAACATATCCGTCTTTTTCAGCCCTGAAAATTAACACAAGCAAAACGCAAGTGTTGTGGATTGGCTCACAACGCTTCTCTGATAAAACTGTGCAAAAGTTGGAATTTAGATTGGTCAAGAAAATGTTTTACTCTTCTCGGTGTTATTTTTACACACAATTTGGCAGACATGGTAGAAAGAAATTACAAAGACAAACTTAAAAGTTTACAAATCATCACGAACCCTTGGTTAGCACGTGACCTGACCCCATTTGGTAGAATAACTGTATTAAAAAGTCTTATTTTACCTAAACTAACCCACCTTTTATCAACTCTACCAAATCTAAGTGAAAGATTTATAAAAAAACTCGAAACACTGTGTTTTCGTTTTATATGGAAAAATAAACCAGACAAAATCAGTAGAAATATTATTATGATACCTCATGAAGAGGGGGGTATAAGAGTGCCTGATATTAAAAATACAACGGGGTGGGTGTGGTGATGGGTGGGTGTGGGTGTCAGGATGTGTCTACATGACCAGTGTGTGTCAGGATGTGTCTTCATGACCAGTGTATCAGGATGTGTGTGATGATGTGTCTACATGACCAGTGTGTCAGGATGTGTGTGATGATGTGTCTACATGACCAGTGTGTCAGGATGTGTCTACATGACCAGTGTGTCAGGATGTGTCTACATGACCAGTGTGTCAGGATGTGTCTACATGACCAGTGTGTCAGGATGTGTCTACATGACCAGTGTGTGTCAGGATGTGTCTACATGACCAGTGTGTGTCAGGATGTGTCTACATGACCAGTGTCTCAGGACGTGTGTGTCAGGTTGTGTCTACATGACCAGTGTGTCAGGATGTATGTGATAGAGTGTGTCTACATGACCAGTGTGTCAGGATGTGTCTACATGACCAGTGTGTGTCAGGATGTGTCTACATGACCAGTGTCTCAGGACGTGTGTGTCAGGTTGTGTCTACATGACCAGTGTGTGTCAGGATGTGTCTACATGACCAGTGTGTGTCAGGATGTGTCTACATGACCAGTGTCTCAGGACGTGTGTGTCAGGTTGTGTCTACATGACCAGTGTGTCAGGATGTATGTGATAAAGTGTGTCTACATGACCAGTGTGTCAGGATGTGTCTACATGACCAGTGTGTGTCAGGATGTGTCTACATGACCAGTGTCTCAGGACGTGTGTGTCAGGTTGTGTCTACATGACCTGTGTGTCAGGATGTGTGAGTCAGTTTGTGTCTACATGACCAGTGTGTCAGGTTGTGTCTACATGACCAGTGTGTCAGGATGTGTCTACATGTGATGTGAGTGAGAGAGTATGGTTTTACGCCGATTTTAGCAATATTCCAGCAATATCACGGCGTGACGAGCGAAGGCTTTAACCACCAGGCTACCCGACCGCCCCTTTTACGTCTGGAACAAAACAAACGTTCGCTTCAGCTAATGCAGTTTTAGATTCTATGGTAGCTCTAAATCTGCCTATTACAGTCCACATGGAAACAATTTTGTTCTGCATTAATCTAACTGAGGCTTTGGAATCAGCGTATTGTATGCACTTTCTGATATTGTGTTGAATGACGCACCCGAATCAGCAAGCATGACGATTGATTGTCCATTTACTTTCATCTCGAATTTTGGACATTTGTTTTCTTCTTGCAATAAGAACATAAAGTCATCATCTTCAGACTAGTTTTTTACCATGTGCACAGACTTTGAGTGTCCACGATTTGGTGCACTATCTTCACTACTGCTTTTACACACACTTAATGCATAAGTGAGGTAAAAAGGAACTCAATACTTGGCAGTTGGTGTTAGAATGTAAACTTAAGTTACTGTGTATTGATATTTTATGGACGT